GCTGTTTCAGATTGTAAATCTTGGCAATTTCATTAAGTCCTCCTGGTTGCTACTGGGGCATTGGAATAATAAAATTTTATATCTGCTCCCTTTCCTGCCTCTGGCAGCCAGGCTGATACGTTTTGTGCAAGATGGCGTGTCTCATGAAGGCTTTTCCTTGGGATGATGAGAGCAGTGCTGATGAAACCTCAGACTGGGATGTCGGAGTTAATAGGAGCTCATACTCTGGAGATGGTTTTAAAAGAAAGAAAGAGAGAAAGAGAAAGAAAAAGAGAAAGAAAAGGAAAGGGTAGAGCCACATGAACCATTTAGCAGCCTTTGGATTCATAGAGGATCTCTGCCCCGAAAAGCAAGTCACTGCACCCTTCCCTTGCTGAATGCTGCCTGGTACACACAAGAGGCAGACGAGGCGAGCTCAGCCTGCAGTGCCGCTTATTAAACAACCCGCTCCTAGTGACTGTGGGGTCTGTCCTGGGCGGCCTCCAGCATCCAGACAGGTTCATGCTCCCATGTGGTTTCTACGGACATGTCTCCTGAATATGATTTTCCAAATGTTTTTTCCTAGATCTTAACATGTTATGGACCTTTAGGGCTTCTGGGCTCCCAGGCAGGACAAATCACAGTAATGGTTGCCCCTTTACTGCCCATATGTTTAAGACCCCCTGTAGTTTGTTTGAAAAGTTAAGAGATTTTCACAGTGAAGGTGCCATTTCTGAAATTTAAAGTGTTCCTTTTCACCGGGAGATAAGTTCATTCTGATTAAGTCCGTAATTCTCACTAAGCCATGTTTATGGGGGCAATAAACAATGTTTCAGCATGCTTGTTAAATTGGGTCTCCAACCTCTCCACTCTTTAAAAATTGACATTTCAAATAAAAGACAGGTGGAGATGGGATTTGGGGTTTGCTGTGCTTAGTGATGAATGAATGATAGCAAGTGACAGTTGTATGGGAAGAGTGAGGCCCTATTTTTATGATAGGGTGACCCCAAACCTTTCTGGGCTAGGGAATCCACATCTCCTTAAGCTTCCGGTGAAGCTCTTAAATGCAAGTCTTATTGCTATAGATTGGATGGATACTGTGTTGAACTAAGTCTTTTACATTCACTGTGTAAGCTTCACAAGTTAGTGTTTAGGTCATGGTGGCCCTGTTCCACAGCTGATGAAATTTAGGCACAGAGCAGTTAAGTACCTGGTCCAAAGTCCTACAGCTAATAATGAGCAGAACTAGGATTCACACATAGTTACTTTGTGTGAAGTTTTTTAGTGCCCACAATGGAAAAGTATTCGGTGTTTTCTTTGCGGGTCTGCATGCTTTTACATATTTACCTAGGACTACCTGTCAAGGTCATAAAATATATGCATTCAGCACCAGTTCTGTACTGTCCTCAGTATGTGTATAGCACCAGTTCTGATCCACTCAGGGAGAAGGAGGAACCCAGGCTTTGGTGCAGAAGAGTCCTAAACTCAAATTACTGCTTTGTTGCTACTGTGGAATCTGAGGCAAGTTACTTTGGTTCTTGGAGCGGCAGTTTGTGCTTCTGTAAAATGTGAATAATGATGCATACTCCGTGGGGTTGTTTTGAGAATGTTTAAGTACTATATTTTAAAATAAGGTGTGTTTTAAAACTCTACAGTGCTTTCCAGGTGACAGTAGTGATATTGCAGTGTATGCAAAAGCAGTGAATGAAGGCAGTTCTTTTAAGTGGAAAGTGCTGACACATACACAATGATTAAAAAAAAATCACATAACAGGTTTCAGTTGAGGGCTACCACACCGTATCCACTTGGCACAGGACTCAGAGAGGGCCCTTTGTCACTAGAGGAGGGGAGTTGGTGGGCTGGGGACTCATGGAAAACCGTGTCTGTGTCATGCTTCATGTCTCACAGAGTGCTTGGCCATTTCATCCCTCATGTGCTTTGCTGCAGTGGGGAAAGGGATGGTGCCGGACCCTGAGTCCCCAGCAGTAAGCAGCCACCTGCAGTTTGAGGAAAAACATTGGCAAAGTCAGAGACATGAATGGGCATAAATGGGCTCAACTACCACCCCAGCTGGATGGAGGCACTGTATTGGGTAGATTTGTAGAGGGGACCACCAGGAATACTGGTGGAACCCAGCTCACAGAAGGAGCCTTTCCCTGATGGCCAGCTTGAGAGGGAACATGGGCTCTAGTGTCTTTACTGGTCTTTTCAACCATCCTAATGGTAAGGATTATGACCAGTACCTAACCATAGAGATAGAAACCCATGCTAAAGGCCACTCAGAGCCTTGCTTGAAGCTACTTAATTAGCAAATGAAAAGCCAGATGCCAACCACAGCAACCTTCAGACCTGGACTGAGGACTATCCCAGAGAGGGAACGAGCAGTATCTGTGTGTGTCGAGGCGCTCTGTATGCGTGGAGATGCTCTGGAGGGGTGAGGTCTCTTCTGCTGCATACTTCTGTGCCCTTTCGCAGGTTTATCTTCATCTGCTCCACAAGGAGGCTGGTATGCTAGTTGGCTTCAGGGTCCATGGTTTAATCGTCCCTGTGACCTTGAGACACAGCCTAAAGATGACATGAGTGAGTGACTGATACGTGAGTGGCTAGAGGCTGGATGAATGAATATCTGCTGGATGGCGCCTCAGAAAAGAAGCCACTGGAGAAAAGGGCCTTGCTGATCTGGCTTGAGGATCAGACGTGTTAATGAGCGTCAATGCTTATTACCTTGTGGAGAGTGGATTCAGCCTAGCCTGGGAGGCACATACCCCACTTCCCTCCCCTGCCAAGCTTCTGTTTCTGTTTAAAGTGCACTGGGAAATTCCAGCGGTGCTCTCAGGGCTCCTCTGAACTGTCGGGCTTAGATTTTTAATTTTGTAGAGCAGGAAGGAGCAAATCAGTGACTCCTGACTCCGAAGAAAAGCCACTACGTTTATCAACTGGTTGGCAGCTCAGTGACCTTTGGGGCCTGAGGAAGGGAAGGAAAATATCACCCTTAGTTGGTATGTACCCAAGATTTCAGGAGGGAATAAAGAATTTAGAATCTCGAAGTGCTTGCCTTTCCTCTTCCCAGCGTTTTCACTTTCCCTCTGATTTCTTTTTCCTTTCCTCCAAGGAGGCCACCATCTCCCCAAGCTGTTCTTTGTTATGTACTCATATGTATGCGCATGCATTTGAGCACATTTTATATGTGCTGTGTGGTGGAAAGAACACTCGCTCGTGTAACCCAAATTCAGATCCTTTCTCTGACACATACCCTTCTAACAATATGGACAGATTATTTAATCTTTTTAGCCTCAGTTTCCTCATCTATCAAATGGGTGTGATGTTCTGAAGGAAACCCTCTTTTCCTTGGGAATTTTCATGGAGTCTGTGCCAGCCATCAAACTGCTCCAAGGACTTTATTCATTTAGTATGTGCCTCACAGAAGCCTATTATGTTTATTGATTGAAACAATGAGTAGGAACAAATAATGTAATGGAAGTACAGATGGCTTGCTGTTCAACCGGGCTCCCAGCTTACCCCTACTGCTGCTTAGCCAGGTGACTTCAGACAAATTGTTTTTACCTCCTTGACCCTCAGTGTCCCTCTTTGTCTGCAGGGCTGTTTGGGGATTAGGATAAATGATGTATGCTGAGGGTCAGGAGGAGCACAGCAGCGGGTGGCTGCTGTGAGTTCAGTGAGAGGTTGCACAGCTCCTGGCACCCGGGAGGCCATCTGCAAAGTCAGCTGCAGTCTGGACCTTCTGGAACCCTAGGAGTTCAGAGAGCAGAAGAGGCAACGCACCAACCCAGCAGCAGTCACTCAGTGTAAGGTTTTTGCTAGTCAACTATTAACTTATAACTTTCTGATTTAATTCTAACTGTATTCTCTACCTGGAGGCTTTTAGGAAGCAGTCAGACTGGGGAGGACAGATGGCATTTTGTTAGGAGCCACAGCTATTGCACCTTTCACAGGAGATGAACTTGGACTAGACTTACTTTGAACCAAATGGCAGCACTCTGTGGCATGGGCATGCTCATGCTCTGATTCCAGGGTAGCCCTTGGCCCCCTCCCCTTTACTTGGTGATCCTGTCGCTGATGTGGCACCTGCTGTGGCAAGATCTTCCAGCTACCTCAGTTGGCTGTAAGAGAATGATTATGCTTGCTGGCTTCCAGATGTTCGTATGGAGAAGTCCCACCTGTGGTCCACGCCAGCACCCTGGATAGGTGGAAACGTGATGCGGGATACAAAACGAATGTCTCTGTTTATTCTCCTTTTTACTTAATCCTCTCACAACCCTATATAGGAAGCAATTATAGACTTCTTTGCTAGATGAGAAAACCGAGGCTCAACTAAATTTAAATAACATTCCCTGAGTCTGGAAACTAGGACTTCAAGAAGATGAAGCGTAGCCTCTCTGAGTGCTGCTGTTCCTTCTCAGTCCCGCTGCTCACCCACAGCAAGGGGACCCGGGACTACAGAGCTTCTCAGAAGGCCCTTGGTAATGTTCTGCTTTGCTCTTCACTGGAGGGAGACAGGACAGATGAAGAAGCAGTGTGTGGCCTGCAAGTGTCTACCACTGCAAGCACATTTTCTGACATTAAAGTGTATTCTAGATGGAATCGTTTTTGTTGGTAGAATTATTACTATATTAACTATTCATAGTTATAATAGCTAATAACTTATGCTAATTATATACCAGAGATTATTCATTTAATTGCCAAAACAAGCCAATGAGGTCTGTATTATTTACTTTCATAGTATGAAGCATGTGATTTATCGGGAAGAGAGCACACCTATGTAACCACCATCCAGATTAAGAAGCAAAATATTACCAACCCCCTAAAACCTCCTGTGCCCCATTATAGTCATTTTCCCTTCAACAAAGGAGTACTGGGTGTCATCTCATTATGCATAATGAAGCCAAGGCATATAGTGGTTTAGTGATTTACCTATGAGGAAGAGTTGGGATTCAGACTCAAGCAATATTGGTCCAAAAAAATGTGCTTGTACAATACGTAACCAGGAAAAGGACAGTAGATTGAAGGTAACCTAAAATTTATTGATTGTTTAGTGTAATCAGGAATTGTATAAATTCTTCACACACACATGTCACTTCTCTAAATCCTCGCAAACAGCTGTGAAGCATTATCCCCATTTCATAGATAAGAAAACTGAGGTGCAGAGGAAAGAATTGCTGGAGATACATATTGCAGAGGCAAGGCTTGAGTCTGGCTGTCTCATTCCAGAACCCACAGTCTTAATCACCACATTAATGGCTTATGTCCACTGTGAATTAATTCTACACTAATTAATCATGATAATTTTACATGATTGTTATCATTGCCATCATTATTGTTATTCCCATCGCACTTCCTTGAGCAGACTCCGGTTTGCTTACGTTGGACTCCTGTTGTCCGTCCGGGCTGACGCTGACATCTGCTGCAAGGCCGGCCTCCCCGCAGAGTGGATCCGGGCTCACTTGTTCTCCAGCTAATGAGCGCATGCCTTGTGTCGGGCTCTGTGCTGGGCCCTGGAGACAAGTACACACAGCTCTACCCTCAAAGTGGCCCTGTGTAAGAACAGCAAGAAAGATTCGGTGGGTGCTAGCCCTTTCATCCCATGCATGTCACCTCACCAACCCCCAGAACCTCCGTCCTCATTAGGGAGCCCTGTGCTGGGTTACAGGGTCCTCTGGAAAAGGCAGGCGTGGAGCCGGGTCACTGCTCCTCAGCACCCAGCCCAGTCTAGCACCACCCCACCTCCTAGCACTCACCAGGCCAGCCCCTGCCCTCATTTTAAGGCCTGGCTTCAAGTCCTGCCCTTTGTCATTAGCTGCCCAATCCCTGCCCTGGATGGGCAGAGTTACCCCCACACTCCACCCCCAACCCCTGTGCCAGCATTCAGATAATTTGAATGAGTATAACTGATACTAATTTATAAGACAAAAACTCTTATTATTTTCATACAACCAGTTTTAGAAAATAAAGCTGTATAAAGATTTTCTTAGCAGAAATGACACCCAAATTAGAGTGATTCTCACAGAGACCCCATATTTTATAAGGAAGTATATCAGGAACTTTAGGGACGTTGGCTTTTCATGTTTGTCTTAAGACATGAGATGGGGTTATGGCCTCAGGGGAATTTGTCTTGTGTGCTGTTCATTCACAGTCATTCAGACTCTGTAATCTGCAGGTCTATTCACTGTTACATTTGGATCTATTTATTTTGTATTCTGGATAGGACAACACTAATATGTTTTTCAGCTCCATTGAGGCATAACTTATATACAGCAAACCATGTATTTAAAGTACATGGTTCAAATAATTTGGACAGTTTGGAATCTCCCATGAAACCATCACCAACATCACATATTACTATCATCCCCAAAAGATCATTTGTTTTTATTTGACAAGTACGTACCTTTATTTGTATTTCCCATGTGCCAAGCCCTACTCTAAGTACTGCAGAGATGCTAACCCATTTGATCCTCCTGACAAGCCTGTGGAGTAGACCCAGTTGTCATCCCCTATTTACAGAAGAAGAAGCTGAGCCATAGAAGGATTAAGTGCCTCACACAAGACAGCAGAGCTAATGAGTGGTAGAGATTAACTAAAACCCAGATGGATTGCTTCTCCATATATGCCCTTCTCGTCTGGGTTCTGCTGCCATTCATTCATTCATTCATTCATTCATTCATTCATTCCGTGCTGTGGACCAATATTGGGGTCAAAGCTAGAAGTACAAAGATCTAGCTCCTTGGCCCCCAAGAAGCCCAGATGCTAGTGAAAGACTTGGATACCTACATCAGTAACTCCAGATAGATGGTCAAGTTCTAGTGGTGTGAGTGAGCCCTCAGCGAGCCTAGGTTGGGGAAGGCTCGCTGTGTCTGGCTCTCTGGAGTGAGGTAAGCCTCAGGGAATGAGTTCTAGGAAGTCAGAGAAGAAGGGACAGACAGGCAAGGGAGAAAGGCAAAATTCCTTGAGTGTGTGTGGGTGTTCTGGAATCATCCTGGATCCTTTAGATGCATTCACTTATCTGTACCTCTCAGCTCTGTGAGGAGGGTACTACAGTCACTTCCTGTCCCACAGATGAAAACCTAGAGGACTTGTAAGGTTGGTACATCGCCTAAAGCTACCCACCGTTAGAACTAGATCCTCTCTTCTACCCTGAGCACCTTCCTCACTCTGGGTTGTCCCTTTCCTGATCTGAGACGCATGGATCAAGCTAGGACTGTGTGACAAAGCACATATAGGAAAAAATGCTTTTATTAATATTGATGGGAAGATGCCATTTTTGTGTTTCTCTGTGTAAGAAATGCCATTTGGAAAGCCCGGTGTGCATGTCAGGATTTTTTTTTCTCATTCTGAGAAAAAGCCTATAGAGTCTGGTGGGGGGAAGGGTTTGCAGCTGGCAGGAGCTTTGGCATATGTTGTAACTAAAAAGAGAGGGAATGTGTTGGTGGGACAAGCTACCGGAGAGCTGTCTCGGTGTGCTGCGGTACGTGTAAGTGTTTTAATTGGGTAGGATTTTTGGAGGACTATTTTGACATCTGCTCGTGTCTTTGCTGATTTTTCTTCACTTAGAGTAGGAAACACAAGCTGTGGATAAAATGACTTTAAAATAATTGGAAGTAAAGATATCTCTCTCAAAGTCAAATTTGAGAGGGACACTTTAAGAAGTGGAAACTAAATTCCACTTCTAGGAATTCATCCTAAAGCACAAAACTTGATGCCTACACATTTCGTGACAGTATTTTATTTAATAATTTCTTAAATCCTAGAAATATTTAACAAAAGGGGGTTGGTTGAGTTTGTTCCCATGTAATGGAGCACTGTGTCGCAATTAGTAATGATCTTTGTAAAACTTTTAATGACACAGAGCATTGCTTTTATTGTAATCGGTGAGGAAATCAACAAGAAGCATTAAGAATGACTTTGACTGTGTCTTAAAGTGTAGGGAAGGAGAACTATGGAAGGAAATATACCAAAATGTCATCTCTAAATGAATGAATTGGGGTAACATTAATTTACCTTTTGGAAACTTTTCTTTCTCGTTTCCCTATAATAGGCACATATAATGCCTGTGCAAAAGAAAGTTGGTTATGCAGAAGGAAAGCAGGTGTTGTTTTGTATGACTGCGTGCACCACACAGTGACTCCACACATAAGAACATGCATTTGTGATGTCTTCAGACTGTCGAGGAGCCAGCTCTGTGCTCACTAGCTGTGTGGCTCTGAGCAGTTTGTTAACCTCTGTACCTCCAGTTCCACCTCTTTACCATGGCTACAGTATCTCCCTCACATCTAGTTAAGATTCAGTGAGGTGGCCCCCCAGTAATCGTCCAGCTCCCTTCTTCACCAGCCTTTCCAACCCTGCAGCCTGACTGTGAGTTTTTCTTACCTTTCTTCATTCTCCTTTTTGGCTTGAGCCTTTCAGGGGTAGAGCACCATCCAGCCAAACCAGCCTCCAATTCTTTCCTTGGGAACATTGAGCTTCAGGAAGGCCCTTGAGCCTGTGCCAGTCCCTTTGGAAGAGCCCTTGCCACCAGGAGGGCAGCATTGTCCTACAAGAGGAAACTATGCCGACCCAGCTCCTGCCTGGAGCCCGGTGCTAGGGGCATTTTGGTTACTAAGGGGACGCTGGTCTGCTAGGTCAGGAGAAAAGGCCAGGTTTTTTCCTCTTCTTCAGCCTGCTGCCATTGTTGAAAAAGTAAACACTCCACACAGCTTAACCAGCAAGTCCTCCAGCCAGGAGTGGTAAAAAATCAAAAGCCTGTTCCAGCCCAGCCGTGGAGAGCCCACAAGGCCTTGTCTGTGTGCTGGGGACACAGAAACAAGGCCTAATTCTGATCCAGAATCAACATCCACTCATGGGCCTTTCAGCCCCTGGGGCTTCTCTCCAGTGGCCATGGCCTTCTGCCCTCTTCTGGTTGGAAGGTCAAACGAGGCAAAGTAGGTGATGCTGGGGTACAGCAGCCCTGGGTGCTATCCTTGAGTCTGGCATTCTTGCTGTCACTTTGATTTTGCTTCCTGTGGTTGTCCTCAGCCATCAAAGTGAGAGCCAAGCAGTTACCAAGGGACCAGCAAGATTTCTGCTCGTAGGCCACTGCCACTGTGGCTTTTCTAGCTGGCTGTAACTATTGTGTGTGTTAAAAGTATTCATAATAGCCACTATTTATTAAGTTTTCTAATCTTCCCCACAGGCCGGAGGAAGTGGGAGAAAGAGGGTGGTCAAGCTATTCCAGTTTCACAGGTTAAGAAGCCAATGAGTAGACACACAGCCTTGGACCAACTTGCTTCACTGCTTAGAACCGCAGTCTCTCATCTCTGAAATGAAAATGGTGATATCTCACCTCTAGCTCCACTGGTGGAAATTAGTCTGTGTAGCCGTGCTTTGTGAGTTCGGAAATGCACACGTGGCTGTCCGTGCTGTTCATGATGTTTATTCAGACACCAAACACGCTGCAAAGCCTTTACCTGCTGGGTTGTAGAGGGAAGCAGCTAAGGGGATGGGAGGATTCTCTACCAGTCTTAAAGTTCTCCTCTGAAAATGGGGAATTGTGCTTTGTAAGATAAAAGTACGGTACAACTCTCGGTGTTTATTACCAAGTCCTTCAGTGTTGCTAAAAGCCATTTATCCTGTAAATAAGGCAATAATTACTATCAGTGTTGGGGTTAGAGGTGGGGAAATGCACTTATCAGGTAGCAATCAGATCTCCCTTCTGGTCCTCAGCTCATGGTGAGCTCTTAATGTTTCTGTGCTGATGGATGGATTTTGGACTGACCCCCGTGCTTGGAGAAGTTAGAAGCAGAAGCAGTTAGAGCATCTGGTCCTAAGTGTAAGGTTTCAGAATTCTGCTGCCTGGGAGAGGTTTTCAACTCCAGGTGGCTTCTCATCAACATGACATACCAACTTGGTGCTGAGTTCTAGAAATTGAAATTTAAGTATTAATATCAGCAAACACTTGCCAAGTACTTATCATTTTGTCAGGCACTGGTTTTTGGTTTTGTGAGACAGGGCTCACGGTATAGCCCAGGCTGATCTCAAATTTATAGTGATCCTCCTGCCTCAGCCTCCCAAGTGCTGGAATTGTAGACAGGTGCCACCATACTCAGCCAGGCATTGCTGTGCAGTGATGAGTCAGACCATGAACCACAGAAAGGACTTATACCCCAGGGAAGGGACAGACGCAAAGGGTGCTGGGACTAGACGAGACACGCTGAGGACAGTCTCACTGAGGGTATCCGATGATAATTACTCTTTACAGTGTAAAGAGTGTGAGCTGTGGAAGTGGCTAGTTGCCTTACCTCCTCAGATGACATTACCTTGGCAGAGCTTGAAAAGAATTAAATGAGATAAAATAAGTAAAGCACAGAGCAGAAACTTACAGACTCTCAGTACATTATGATTGTCCATTCCCAGGGCATTGGCGAATGCGGGCTTCAGAGCCATCAGGTGTCCAGCTGCATTACTGGCCCAAATGGCCATCTTGGGCATTGTTAGGTAAAGGCAGCTCCCACCTCACCTCAACTAGTGCTTCCCAGCAGGCACATGGGTTGGAATATTTCGGCCCAGAATTGCTGGGCTGCATCTTTGGGCAGCCATATAAGCTGTACATTCATGTGCAGTATGTTTGGAGGGTAACTAATGATGAAATTGTCCCTTTTATATAAGTTGACCCTATGTCCATTATATGTTAATTGTCCTGGTATAACACACGTTCTTCCGTTGCTACAAGTTTCCCAATTTGGACAACAAATGACAGGGTCTTTCTACTTTAAAAGGGCAAAATACACCAAAGAGAACAATTTTGAAATATACTGTCTGCAAGAACCAAGTTTGATATGTGACGGGAGAGGAGGACTGAATGAGATCAGGAAAGTGGTCAGGCAGGAGAAAAATGAACATGGATTCCAGCAGTGGATAAACAATGAAATTGAACATTAAAAGCTCAGACTGGGCTGGAAGTTTAGCTCAGTGGCACAAGCTTAGGAAGCACAAGGTCTTCAGTTCGATTCCTGGTACAAAAAAAAAAAAAAAACCTCAGGCTATATATTGTCTTGTGGTGATACAGACTTTGTAAAGCTGCTGCCAAATAGAGGGTGCCATACTATCCCTTCATTTTCCCTTCCTCCAGCATACACAAGTACCTTCAAGGCATGAGTCTCCTTCATCCTTTCTGTTACTGTACCAACAGAAAAATGGCTATGGAAAACAGAACTAGACTGAAAGTGTGACCTTCCTACTTAATGTTAAGGGAAATGTTAACACATTTGCACTAGGCCATATTCCCATATTCCATACCCTAGAATGATGAGATTTGAAAGAAAGATTGGCAAGTATCCTTTGGGAAATAAGAGGAGTGTGTTGAATATGTCACAGGAGCCTCCTGTGTGTGAGAATATTCCTAGGGCCAGAGTTTTGAGCCTTGACTTCTGTTAATGAAAAGAAAAACAGGAAAAAGACAATGATGGGTGTAAGATCTACTTCCTAGCTGTGTGGCCGGGGACGTGTTCCTTAGCTCCTGTGAAGTGGCACTTTCACTCCTGGGACTGAAGTGACCCTGAAAGCTTAAAAGAGCGTCTGTGGGAGTTCAGTGAGTGGCAAATGTGTGCCGCCTCACATAAAACAAGGCTTTGTCAAACCTCGTTTTCTTCCCTGTTCCTTTCCCTTGTAAGGGCAGAGGGACATATCTTCTTGTCTTAATGATATTCCCATGACTTTCCTTTCTGGACTTTGTGACTTGCAGAAAGTCAGAAACATGGCCCTGGATGATGTCGTAATCCTGAATGTGGACACCAACACCCTGGAAACTCCCTTTGATGACCTCCAGAGCCTCCCAAATGATGTGGTGAGTACTGAGCTCCTGAGCTTCTGCTCCTGTGCGTGTCCATCACGGAAACAAACCTGACTTTGACAGGGGAGAAGGAGGGGAGACAGCTGTGGTTTTCCTGTGGCCTAAGATCTGTGGTTTGTTTCACTCAGTGTTAAAGTCTTGGTGTAGAAAGATAGGCTGTTGTTTATTTTTCAAGTCCAGTTTTTTTCTGATAACTTTAGTCTGGAGGGCCCCAAGGTGGACCCCGAGTCCAGGGAGCCTGTGGGGGATGTGGGTCATCACCCCTTCCCAAGTCGTCGTTCTCTTCAGAGAACGGAACGACATCCCCTGAGTGACACCCAGAGTCAGGTGGGTTTTGGGCTCAGTATAGGAGAGTACTCCAAACTGACACTTGCTCCTGGACCATCACAGAGCATGAACATTTCCCCAACAGCAGGTGTCTGCTGCCAGTGCCCTGAACATGGCTGCATGTCCCCAGACTCACTTTGTCTCTGTGTTACCTCGGAGCTAGCAGAATGTAGGTTCTTTTGAGCCTAAAGTAAATGGGTGTTCTTGGTGTTTCCAGTTTGCCCTCTGTGGTTCTGTGGGCAAGAAGATCCATAAAGTTCTTGTGGCTTCCACACTGCAAGGAGCCCATGTTGTTTTGGGCCATTGGCGCTGATATGGGGCCGGGGTGGGGTCTGCAGGAAGAGTGTTTGACCTGGTGGGTGCAGACCATTCAGGTGTGATAAAGATGTTTCCTTCTTAATATATCACTAGACAGTTACTACCATCATTGACAATTTAGTCTCTTTTCTATCACTGAGACACAACACCCAACATCCACAATTTAAAGGAGGAAAGATGTATTTTGGCTTTTGTTGGCTGACTCCAAGGCAGAAATGACAGGGGAGGCTGGGTGGAGGGCCAGGAAGCAGAGAGGGAGGAGGTAGGGGCGGAGATATACTTCCAGGTCACGCTCCCTGCAATCTGCCTGTTCTGACCAGAACCCACCTCCAAACTGCACAGTCAGCTCTAAATTCTTCAGTAGATTAATTCACTGAGCTAAACGCATGATGCTTTGGGCGACTTTCTAGGTCTCAGGCATTAAATAGACTTTTGAGCATTAGGGACTGAGCCGAACCTCTCATTTAATCTTCATGCCACTCTCAGGTGTTTTCCTCACTCCCATGGTACCCACAGAGCTGGAGGGAAGTAGAGACAACTCTGCCACACAGAGCCCCAACCTCGCCACCTGCCAGGTGCCTCCTGCCTCCAGATGTCCATTGATGAGTGTTGCTGCCCTATGGCATCAGCATTCTCTCCCTTTTATAGGGAAAAAAGGATTCAGAAAATACAAGCCTTGCCACAAAGCACTGCTGAGATTAGAACCCCAGTCTGCATGGCACCAAAGTCTGCAGTACCTCTGCCCTTTGTATACTGCCTCCCTCTGAACATGAGACAACAGAGAACTCAAGGAAAATATTAGAGTGCTGTTCAGGGATGAGGGCAGTGAATAAGATCCAGATACATGGTCAGCATCTCAGGGTTGCGGGCCACGATTTGTGAGGTTCTCTCCTGGTCCCTTTGTCTGGACAAGTTCCTCTGCAAGCCATGGACGTCTCCAGCAGGGACTTTGCAACTGTACCTGAACTTGGGATGTGAACCTAAGGTACCTCAGGTCCAAAGAATGCCTGATGCCCTGGGACAGCCCAGGGTACATGACGGCAGCTCAGAAGCAAGCAGGGAGTCCAGTGCTCTGGCCCTGAGCCCATACTAAGCAGTGGAGAAGGGGGAGATGTTCACAGAGGACAATCCAGTGGGGGAAGCAGACAGGTAAATTACACCTGCCTCGTAACACCGCATAATAGGGACCACAGAGGAACAGGAGTTGTGGACAGGAGGCCCAGGAGAGAGGCAGATAGTGGTTACCTCCAGAAGATGGTAAAATCCAAAATGCCTTCTAAATAATAATGAGGCAGGCAAGCAGCGATGTGGACAAGTTGTTTTTCCTCTCAGAGCCTCTAAAAGAGGAGTACTCAGACTGCCGTTAAGGTTATTGTGGCAAATAATAACAGTGGTGTTTATCCAATGCTTGGCACAGTGCTCAAGTATTGTCAGTGTTCAATGAGCATACCTACCTTTGTTTCTGTTTTTCACAAAAGTGTTGTTGATAACAACAGACAAAGTCAGGGGACCATCCATAGCCTCTGCATCCTGAGAGTCTCAGTCTGGGCACCTGGAACCTCGTACACACACACCGGCTTGAGGAGCACAGCAGAGGTTTCCACGCGGGGCCCTTGCCTCACCCATAGTAAGGGGATGTGATCATACAATGCTGCTGTATTTCAGTAAATCTGGGGAATTGATCCTGTCATGCTCCGTGAACTGCAGGTTCTCAAGAGAGGAAATCCTGTCCTGTTCATCTTTGCATCCCCTGCCTTTGACACAGGTCCTAGGACTTTGAAGGCATCAGCTGGTCCACAGCTGATCTTACAATCTCTCCTTTTAGCAGAGCTGCTGAAAGATTCTGCTTCTTAAATGTTTTGCTAGCCCCCATCGTCTTCTCTATCCTAATGTCAACCACTCCAAGCCCTTATTTCCTCCTGCACTATTTGCAGCAGCCTTCAGACTGGTTCTTCTGACCCAGCCTCCTCCCTCCAGCCCTCCTTCATACAGCAGTGACCTTTAAAAAAAAAAGTAAACAAACTGCATGTCCTCCATACTTAACACTGCTCTGATAATGAATATAAAAAATCCTCTACAGACAAAAAATACTTCCATAACTCCCCATTGTCTGTAGATTCAAGGACAGTTTATTTTGTTAGCTTTGGAATCTGACAGACCTACATGTATTTAAATTCTGGCTTCTTACTAGTCATGTGATTCTGGGAAAACTTACATACATAAGCTCTCTGAGCCTAGATTTCTTCATGAGGTGTTGTAAGAATGTAGTGAAATGTCTATAACACATATTAAAGATGTAGCCTATGAGCTCTCTAGATGGGTGACCATGATGAGGTATGGTTACAAATGGTGATGACCATGGCGAGTCCAGGTCTCCCTTCGTGACATGATCCCCTCCTGGTTTTTTGTTTGATTATTTTTCACTGCTTTAGCCCTCTTCCCTCCCTGCTTCTCACTCAACATGGCAGGAGTTTGGAACTGTTGGTAGTTCTTCTAAACTGACATTGTTTCCTAACTTTGTACTTTGCATACAGAGATTGCCCCAGTGTCCTACCTGATCCGATAATCCCATTCTGCAAGACCTCCTTAAAACAAACCTTCCCTTGACTGCTCCAAGTAGATCTGACCATATCTTTCCTTTAGAAACACTTACTACCATTTCTGGCTTTCCTATGTAATTGTGAGTTCTTGAGGATGGGAAGCATTTATTCAGCTTTGTTTCCCAGTGATCTAGCAACCACTGAATGTAGATGGATGGGCAGACAGGAGGCACATGTGGGTTGGGTTACCCTGGTAGGTGCAGTCTTGAAAAATACGATATCCATGCTAGAAATTTTATTAAAAGAAGCCTTGGTTTTACTTCTAGCCACAATGTAATAGTTGCAACTGGATTAACCTTCCCACTTTTAAAACTCCAGTCAAATATGAAAACAGTTGTTTTCACAGATTGGATAACAAGCAATACAGGGATGTGACCTCTGGGTGAGAGGAAACAGGTGACATAAGGCCATGGCTCTCAACCTGAGGCATTTTCCAGACACTGGCACCAGAATGGTGTCTCCAGCAAAGCAAAGCAAAGCAAAGCAATAGTCTTGCTGAGTTGAAAGGTTAGAGATCTGAGTTTGAGACAGAAAGAGTTTAAGTTTATGGATGAGAATACTAGACAAGAGGGGCTGGGGATTTAGCTCAGTGGCATAAGCGCCTGCATTGCAAGCAGGCAGTCGTGAGTTCGATCCCTGGTACCGGTAAAAACGAAAAAGACAAAAAAAAAAAAAAAAAAAAAAAAAAAAAAAAAAATACTAGACAAGAGTACTCAGCAAAGAGCTCCAGAAATCTGAACTTGTTGACCTGCTGAAGACTCATCTACTGATGTGGAGGGCCAGGCTCCTGATAAGGGTCTATAAGATGAACAGGAATCATTCAGATTCTCACCACCCAGGGTAGAGACCCTGGTTGACTACTAAGGACAATCACTGAAGACCCTAGGAAGTCATGACTTGTTGGTAGGTATAAGTTAGGTATAAAAGTTATTTTGTCTCTGTCTAAACAAAGCATAAAATCAAGCCTTGAGAAACAAGACAAACCTTTAGGAGTGCTGGCAGTGTGCTGCGTTTCCATCTGAGTGCCAATTACGTAGTGAAGAATTCATGTTGATTGTAATTTTTAAAATCACAGTGAACTCATTTTGTGTATGTATGTCAAACTTCAATAAAAATTTTTCTGTGTGTGTCTTTTTGAGACAGGGTCTTGTTATGCAGTTCAGGCTGGCCTTGCTCGCTTTGTAGTCCAAGCTGGTTTTGAACTTGCGGCAATCCTCCTGCTTCAGCCTTAAGAAATTTTAAACAAACTTTTAAGACTGTAAAGGTCTTGAAAAATATTGCCTTGATGTGTAAGAAATTTCACCTCTCCTCAAAATCAACTTTAACCATATTTAAAAGAAGATAATAAAACCCAGAACTTGACAGCATAACATTATCCATATGTAGCATCTTGTTTTAAAAGTATAAGACATGTTGAGACTTAGGAAAGTAACCTATAAAAATGTATTACTATAAACAGATTTAGAAATAGTATTCAATTAACAACCCAGGAATGACGGTGCATGTCTTTAATCCCAGGATTTGGGAGGCTGAGGCCAGAGGATCGCCATGAGTTTGAAGCCTGCCTGGGCTACCTAGTGAGTTCAAGGTCAACCTGAACTATAGAGTGAGGCCCTGTGTTGAAAACAACGACAAAATCTGACAGACAAGAACCTTAAAATAGATATTGGAAAAGATTATAAATAATGTCCATGAATTTAAAGAAGACTTGAACTAAATGAGAGAAATGGAAAATATAAAAAGAATAAA